AAAAGTCGAAAGTATTCTTAGCAAGAGGTGGATAAAGTTGTGCTCAAAAATCGATTATATTTATCGAATTCCAAGAGCCCATTCTTCCGGAATAGTAACGTGTCTTTGAAATAAGTCCGATAACTCTGTTTTACGAGCGCTAGCTAACGCCGGACACAAAAGGAACCTTAGAGGGTTTCCATCTCGCTTATATCGAAGGACGTCCAAGAAAAGAAGAAAGATAACGAGGATCCAAAGGGTCGTCATGGCGATCTAGAAAGGGTTATGTAATAAGGTACCTCGAAAAGGTTACCTTTGCCCATGTTTCAAAAGAGTCCAACCCTACCTACCACCTACCTTAACTATTCTTTCTTCTTCCTTCTTTCTTTACTTCTTACCTACTTTTTCTTCATCGAGAAAGCTCCCTTCCCCCCCCCTTCCCCCGTCCCTATCGACTACGATCGATAACGGCTATATCCACGAGTTCTAGTATAATCTCAGGCAATTTCGTATCTGGATGGCGCCACCTCGTAACCAGTACGGCACTACTCTCTGATGAAAACGGCGACCCCAATCCGTGATTTCGTTCGACCATCGGAAGTCGGAACCATAGTAAACCCTTCGTCGGAAAGGAATTGAACAGGATCAGAAAATGTTGCATAGTCTAGTCATCTTCCGGCTGGGAAGGATCTTTTCTGATTTAATAGTCACCCTTATCTTACTTACGTTTTCAGACGGATCCTTAAATTTTCAAAAAGAGGGTGGATTATAATTCGATCCGTTAGAATCGATCCAATTTTCTTTCGGACGGGTTTAAGTATTTAAATATATAAATGGTTTCAAGCAAAAGTTACACTTCTTTTCTTTTTTTTTTTTTTAATAGGAAACAAGATAAAAAGGTATTCGAGAAAGTTAGAGCAACGTAATGTGCGATCGGATGAAACCCTAGATGTCTCGAAAGTAGCATAAAACCACCCCACCTGGCAGCCACGACCGCGTAACCAATTATATGACAGGCGTTGTCATAATATAGGTCAGACGACGACGTATCGTAAAATATTCAAGGACGTTTAATGTACTTTACTTTAAGAAAACTTATATCTACACATATAAATGTGTTAAATATTGTTTTATAATACTAATGTGATAACGGTCTTAATCGAAAATATAATATTTTTAATTGTTAGAAAATGATTTATCGTTCGTTAACAAAATCCAATTTTTTCCTGCAATAGTAAAACAATTATTAAAGTAAATTTCATCGGTGTTTTCACCTTTACAAAATGTTAGAGAGCCCGTAAACTACTTGGCAGCTTTTCCGCGTTTTAATGTCGTCGTTTTTAACGTACTTGATTGCAACCTCGAGTGATCTCAATGGATCTAAAAATGGCCACTTGGAAACGTGCTTTTCGTGATTTTAAGCTAACCGATATTGGTCACCAAAACGAGTTCTCGCATGTGCTTACTGTCCACGGTCTTATTCGTAGTCCTTGCGTGTGAAAAAGATTTATGAGAGTCTGAGGATGACGTAAATCACTTAATATATAGTTCACCTACCTTCGGGAATGTTGAGTTATTTATAAACGATGGTAGGTGAAGCGCGGATATAGGTGACTGTGATTCAAATAATTCTATATAAGCGAGAAAGAGAAGAAGAGAACTCGGACGATCGATATCTATTCTTTACAGACAATTAACCTGGATCACTAAAAGAACACGGCAAAAAAACAAAAAATATTCAAGTGAATTCGTCTACAAAAATTGGAAACTCGATATTCGAAGTCGAACGTTGATTCTTGAAAATTCTATTACAAAGTCACTGGAACAAGAGTTTACATCTTTTGTAAAGAGAGAGAAAGAGACAGAAAGAGAGAGAGAGACAGACAGAAAGATAGAGAAAGAGAGAGAGAGAGAGAGAGAGAGAGAAGAGTTTGAAAGAACGAACTAGCCGAGGTTACAGCGTGATTTTCTAAGACTTGACCTACTATTGCAGTTTAAAGTGTCGTGCTGACACTTCCCAAGATGGCGTCGTAGAAAGTACGCCCACTCAGCGGAGCCTTACAATGCTTCTAGAGAGCTTTTTGTTCTAGAATAAAGACCATCGTACCTGGTTTGAGTTATACACACTTCTGCTAGACTCTTTGCGCATCACTGAATATCCTGATTCTTCAACACTCAATGGAACGTTCTTGAATGTTCATTCGGATTAAAATACGAAATTAACAATTAAATATGACTATGATAATAACATCGATAAATTCTATTAGATACAAAATTCACAAATATTATCGTACACGTTGAAGACAAATATTAGGATTAAAAAATGAAATCCTCTCTGATAAAAAATTTTCTCTCTTTCTCCTTCTTCAAAAAAAGAAGAAAAAATTTCACAAAATTTAATCTCTCCCTATTGTTAGTAGAATACAAAAAGCTCGGCGTTGCGCGGAAAATTATTTGCCACGGTGCGTTGTCACTCAATGAGAACGTCTGCTGGCTTGGTGGTTTCAGAGGATCTGCGAGTAAGAGAGATAGAGAATGAGAGAGAGAGAGAAAGCAAAGCATGAATTAACGAAGACATCGAAACCCCATTACTTTCGCGGTAGCTTCGGTAGGTTTTAATTGCGGATAGAAGGTGGAAGAATATTACAAGTATGGCACGGATCCAACTGCTTTAGATCCGGAAAAATAATAGTCCGTTAACTCGGCAGTCTGTCCGTCTGTCTTTCGCAAGAAAGAATCACCCAACCTATTTGCAGGCTCTTGAAGAATTCTCTTTCTCTGTTCATGTCTATCTATCTGTCGGTCTGTCTACTTTTCATTCTACTTCGTCGCGGATTTGAGTCTCCACTTGGGAAAGTCTTTGAGTTTCAGAAGGCAGCAGAAGGGCAACCACCACCACCATCACGACGACGAAGACGAAGACGAAGACAACGTACTCGACCAACGGATTGTTATTCTCTGTGCTGTTGTTATCCCGATCGACCATCAGATTTTAATTGCGGACAGAAGGAAGAACCGTGAACGCGTCGACTTGCATTAAGTAGAAAAGAACCGTCTTGGCACGGACATTTTCAGGCTCTTGGAAGATAATAATTACGTGATACAATATAGGCGCCGGTCTGCCTTGGTGTCACCTTTCTCTTCTTCTTCCGTGGACAGAAAGCCATAGCACTTTGGCATCAGGGGTAACGAGGAGGATATTGCTGAATAATAAGTTGGTTTTATAAAGCCGGACGATACAATGGACGATAACATTTTCACTTTTTTAATGAATGAACGAGAGAAGCAAGTGTTACCGTTAAAACGTGAAATATCCGTTAATAAATCGTTAAATAATAATTGTTGTAGAAAGAAAATAAAGCAGACTTTAAAGACAGATTTAATTCAATCTCACATACGTTTCTCGTGATTCATATTTTACCAAGTTATTTCATAAAACATCAATTAAAATTCATTTCATATACACTTTTCTTCCTAAAAATGCTTATTGTTAATTATTTCGCGTAAGATCTCTACATTTTTTGCAAATTAATCGAATTATACACTTTAACGTTAACACAAGTATGGAATATCTACTGTTGGATAGAATGAAACAAAACAAAACAAAAAACCCATCGTATCTCTCATCATTTTATAAACTATCATATTTTCATTAAAAGTATAATAAGAAAACGTTAATATAGGGAGAGACAATATGCATACGATATTGGCTTAATGTTTTTTCGCAATCGCGATAGAACGCAAGCTGCTTTGTTCTTTCTTTTCGGTTCTCTTTCGAGGCCGGTGAAGTTCGTTTGAAGTTTCAGCTCCCGGAAGGTTGAAAGAATCCGTGATTTTGTACTGGGAATTTCTCCCCTTCCTCGTAGTCAACGTTGTCGTTTACAACGAAACCCTACGACAACCATACCAACGACGACGTCAACGACGACGGTGACGACGACGACGACGACGACGACGACGACGACGAAGGAGAGCCTTGGCGATGGCACCCTTGCCCTTGACTGTAGGCGCGAGAATGCTTGTCTGAGGGTTGCCTGGACTCCCAGACAGACTGTGTAGACGCAAAAAGGAAAGTGAGAGAGAAGGGAGGAAAAGCACTGACGAGACGCGTATCGTCCTACAACCAACCACCCTCCTCCGGTTACTCCTCTTCTCTGTATCTTTCATTGCTTCTATGCCCAAGCAGAATGTCTATGTATAGTAGTCACATAGAATCGTTGTTCATGGTGTCCGGACATGGAGCGAGTAGAGTCGCCTCGAGTGGAGGGTGTCGAGAGGACTGACGGAAGTTTAAGTACTCCTCCGACTTGCTCTAGCACGCATAGTTAACTGGCTCGACCAACCTGTCGACGCTATTGCCAGAGTTGCATGTCGTAGATTCTCTTAGAAGTAATCTTTTCCTCCATCTATCTCTCTCTCTCTCTCTCTTTCTCTTTCTATCCCTGTTCGCTTACAATCAGCTAGAATTCTCCGATAATCGTCTAAGTGAAACATTAGATCATTGTAAATTCACCAATACTGCAACTCTAATTTGTTTGGGATAACAAAATTGGCTACCGAAGTACCACGGAAACATTAAACACTTATAGAAACACCTAACTCGTCGAATGTTACTGCAAACTATCGGACCAACATATTGTTTGCGTGTAACAGGAGCTTCTACCACTCGTGGGAATCCTTTTAAGAAGCTCCGAAGTAACTCTACTGTCATACTTAAGTGAGAAATTGCTTGAAGCATCTCGCAAAGAAAGAAATAGAGAAAATTGTAGTATAATGGTTGCGCGCACGCATTTCTGGCAAACCCTTCATCGAATTCTTAATCCATACCAAAGCGTGTACGAGTCAACGAACGAGTGGATTCTAACCGTACAGCAAGAATTTGAGAGATTCTTCGCATTCCAATATTGAGATTCCCCAGTATCTATACCTCTAGTGTGATAAATCGCACTTTATACGATTATCGATATGTTCCCAATGTTTTTTTGCCTAATTAGAATCTCGAAAGATTTATTAGGACTCACCTTTGAGATGTTCGGGAGTATCCGCAGCACCAGCTCGCATGATGTCGTTCAAGTAATGTTCCAATGTTCGCATACTGTCCAACGGTGAATTTCCATTGGCTGTCATGCGATCCTGAAAGCAATTCATTCCGTTCAACAATACCTTCCCTTAAAAAGTAAATAAATATTCGTGTGTTATTTTTTTTTTTTGTATCAACGTGAAATTTCAGTGTAGAGAATAATATGAAAAATAAAATGAAAAAATGAAAAAAAGAAAAAAAAAAGAAAAGAGAATAGAAAAAGAAAAATGAGAAAAAAAAAATGATCCACCATAAAACCACTTTTCATCGCAAGATAGAGATGCTTCTTAAGAAGAAACAGCTCGTATAAGTTAGCCCACACTTTGCTAGCCAGAGGCACCCTGAAATCTCGGTCCTTTCATGGCACTCGCTATTATCCTTAATCGAAATGAGCTCCTCTGGTCAAGAAAAGACTTTTAGAGTCCGCCGAGCGAACAGACAGAATGGCCGTCTCGCAGACAGCAGAGGAAAGAAACAGAAAAGACGAGGAAAGAAAGAAAGAAAGAAAGAAAGTAAAAAAGCAAAAGAAAAAAGAAAAAAGAAAGCTAGCTGACGGTAGCAGTGATGGTGATGGTGGTGGTGGTGGTGATGGCGATGGTGGCGGCGAGAGTAACCTGAAAGAAGACAGAGCCAGCGCAAGGTGAAACAGAAAGAGGGTGTAGGATGTGAAAAAAGAGAAAAGAGAGTTCGTAATAGACCACTTTCGACGAAGCGGAGTGCAGTTAATGCAAGGAAGCATTGAAAAGTCTCTTTCCCCTTCATCTCTCTTTATTCTACACCCAAGTTTTTCCTTTCCTTTATTCGCGAAACACGTCGCCACTGTTTTTACTGATAAAACTTAACTAGACGATTACAAACGATAATTATGATCAAAGTTCGGTACCCCATTTTTAAAACAAATTTAATATTTATTTATGAAACCTAATTCATTTCTACATATAACAAAATTCTATGATAATTAATTTGATGTTTTTGTTCTATTTTCATAGATTATTTCCCTTTTTCTTCTTCCTCCTATCGATACATTTCACAATTCTTTACTAGTATTTCACTGATAGGACTTCAATAAAAAAGATCTCATTTGTACGTAAACCAATAAGTTTCTGTGATGTTAAAATGGCTACATTCGTACACGTATGATGATACTTGTGTGTATATATATATATAAGTGCTTGAAACGTGTCGTCTAAGGAACTAACAATAAACCGTAAAACAATGAGAACAACAACTAAATACAAGACAATACGTGTAAAACCTTTTGAGAGATTAAAACGTACAAAAAAAGTATTCGAAAAGCACTTTAGTATTCACACACAAGCATCTTCAATACTGTTTCAACGATTCGGCATCGAGGAGAAAGGGGTGATCGTGTTCTCGGTACTTTTAGCGGTTCCTAAAGTACCACTCCTTTCGTCGGAAGTTCGCCACCCGCTTCTCACCCTACCTCTTCGTACAGTCGCGTCGTGAAAAAAAAAAAAAGAAGAGAGAAAAAGAGGGTCTTACGAGTTATAAGCACAGGCAGGAGCTTGCTAAACGAGCTACCAAAAAATGCTTGCCCGTATTCTTTGACACTGACCAATTGAGAAAAAGGAACAAAAGATAAAAGCAAATAAGAGCATGGATGATGGGATGGTAAAAAAGAAATACTCCTTGACATATAAAAATATCGCAGCTGTGTTTACTTCTCCTATCATTCCAGTTCTTCTATTTTCCTCATCGTGCATAGCCGTCCGCCTGTCTGAGCATAAATGATTTTACTACTTCGTCTTGGTGATCTTCCTACATATGTACAAGTAGTAAATATCACGTCTATTGAATATCATTGAAATGATGATCGAATTTCAAAAGGTTTTTTCGTCAAAATATTTTGATGCTTAAAACTTGAATGATAGATTGTACAAAATATTTCATTTCAATACGTTTTCCTCGTAATATTTTCATTTCATTTATTTACACTTCAAAGAATTCGGACGTTTCTTTCTGTGCAAAATGACCGTGACATTTACTTGGTCAGCCAGGTGGGTCAATAGAAGAAAAAAAGTCATAGGAAAGTAGAACAATATGGGAAATTGGATTATTTACCGGAAGAAGCGGGCACAAAAAATAGAAAGCACATTCCTGAAGGTTCGACGTCAAATAATCGGCCCATCTCTCTTCACTGGGTACGGGCGGAGGTGCAAAAGGTGGGGCCACCTTTTCCACCGACTCTTTTCTCGTTTCTTTCGAGCTACCTGCAACCCCCAGACCACACGCTTGTTCATCCCTTCTCTCTTTTTCTCCAATACACATATATACCAATACCGAAGCTTTTCTAACTTCTACCCTCTCCTTTTCTCGCTTTCTACCACTGAACGAACCCTCTTATTCCCTACTCCTAGGACCGACTATACCCCTACCCTTAGCGAATCACTCCCACTTCTTCTTTCCAGCAAAGCCACGGACGTTCTAGCTCGGTTCCAACCCACTTCCCCTTCTTTCCTACTGGAAGTATGTATACAAGCACGCGCGCTCGTGTACACACAGCTCTAATACCTACCCACTCATCAAGGAAAACTCACACACTGCCGGTTGCGCTCGCGCGTTCATTCGTGCGTATTATCCGTCTCTATCAAACTCATAGCCGCACACCATGTAGCGCTTATTCTCTCATACCCTTGCACAGCACCGTGGAAAATCAATATAGGGAAACCAGGAAGCAAAAGCAGCAGCAGCAGCAGCAGGGCGTCGACAGCAATCTCTGTGCAGCCTCCAACCCAGTACCGTCCTTCCTCTCTCCCCACTACTCTAGTAGCTAGTCTGACCGCTCCACCCCTTATTTTACCACCCCTATCAAGATATCTCGGTCCTTCTCTGTTTCTTCTTCCCTTTATTTTTCTCCTCTTCCTTCCATCCTTTCGTTTATCTTTATTTCATGTTTATCCATGACCACCAGATTCGTTCCCACGAATACTATCGGCACATTTTCTTGCCCCACTTATTTTCTTTCTCCATATCCTTCTATATCTTTTTGCTTTCGATTTTCTTCTTTTTTTTTTTTTCTTCTTCTTCTTTTTATTCTATTTTTCTCCCTTTTACTCGTCCATCCAGCTCTCCTCCGTTCTTATTTAGTTTCCTCTATTATGCATTCAAGTACAAAAGGTAGAAGGGAATAATTTCAATTTACTACCCTTATCGACCGTCCTACTATTTTGGGGCCAACGCCGGTGCTGCGTTGCAAGTGCTGCCCTCTTTCCTCGTTTGTTTATCCGCGGTATAAAGGTCAGAAGTTGTTCCACTTACACGAGCCATACCATTGGCTTCTTGTTGCTTCACCCATCCTTCTCTTTCCCCTCTTCTCTTTTCCCCTCTTCTCTTTCTCTCATTCTTCCTTTTTCTTTTTTTCTCATTATTTCGAACCCTTCATTCTGTTTGTAGTATGTCATTAAATGAAATCTCGTGCAAACACATATTCTTCATTACATATTACATATTAATAAATATACACCCAACTCTCTTATATATATATGTATATTATCGATTTCTCAATACCAATTGCTAGTCATGAACCTTGACCAACAACTCTCTTGACCACTGTTGATTACCATCAACCACAATCACCAACACACTACCATCAAAGTCAATACTATTACTACTTCTACTACCACAACTTTAAACGTTATCGTCGTCAACGTAACTTCCAACTCCTAATACTGGAGTCATCCAATGCGCAAGTTTTATACTACGGCAGAATGATGATAGTAGGGAAAATGCACGAGAAAATAAAATACCAACGTATAGTTGAAAATTGGGTGATATGGAAAAAGTAACGAAGAAAAACACTTCAGACTCGTACACTCGTACTTACGCGACCCTGTGCACCACTTATCCCTTCTTTTATTTTTAATTGAAAAGAAAAAGAAAAAATACAACGAGAAACCAGAAAGAACAAAATAAAAAAAAAAGAAACTGACTAGACAGATGTATGGTACAAATGCATTTCACGAGATAACGAACTGCTGAAAAAGATATTTTTTTATTTCGTTTTTCCAAGATCTAGACTCTTCTAATTCGACGACTTGCGTCGTAATTACGTGGAAGGAAGCAGTTTCAAGGGGCCAAGACTAGGGGGTGTCGCAAAGAGAAGACAAGAGTAGCGGAAGTTACAGAGAACTTTTTTTCTCTCTCTCTCTCTCTCTCTCTCTCTCTCTCTCTCTCACTTCCACATCTTCGTCGGTCTAGACATGGTTGTTCTTGTGTGTCGTCTATCTTCTCTCCCTTGTTCTACATACGTTTTTGTACTCGACGAGTCCTCTTTTTTTTTTCTCACACCATGTCTCGTCTGACGCACAATCTAGCCTACACATATCTATTATATATATGTATATACAGACACCTGTGAGGAATACGAGTTCACCTCTCAAAGCCCAACTATATCTCAGAATAGAGAATGCGCACACGCACGCATGCATCCAAGCGCCCAAACACGTACGTGTATTGAACTTGCACGAGGTGCCAGGTGCTTTACTAGGTGTGCGCGCTTTCGCCGCGACTCCCATGATACGTCCATTAGACTCCGTACAGGAACAATAATTATTATGTTGGAGAGAATACTACTAGTGGTGACAAGGATGAATACGTATATGTGTGGAAAGAGAGAGAGAGAGAGAGATAGGGAGAGAGCTAAAGTTGGAAGAAGTGAAATAAACAAGACGAAAAGAAACGGAATAAGAAACTCGGAAGAAGAATTCTGAAGAGTCACCAACAATACTGGAATGCAACTTCCTTCCAATTCGCACTTCCCTTTAACTATTAGCATAAATTCATGTTAATGGTTACATTCCATACGTGATTATATCGGTAATTGTGTCGGCTTTTATATTTGAAAAAAAAAAAAAACAGAAGAATAAAAACCACATCAATCGTATGAATATATTAAGATAAAGATAAAAGCAGAAAGAGAAGGGGTGGGAGAGAGAGAGAGAGAGAGAGAGAGAGAGGAAGAAAGTTGTAGAATATAATTTTTATCGGATCGAAAACGAAGAAGAGGGACGATAAAATTTCTCGAAAAAGAACC